TGCATTTTCATCAAGACACATGAACATAATTTTCTGCATCCAAATTTTTGTTGACTCTCTGTTGGTGTTTTTTTTTCAATATCGTGCCTCTTATAATTTGTTACATAGTTGAAGTAGTTCTAGAGCATTTGTGTCTACACTTAGTCTATCTGAAGTGTCACTTTAAAATCTGTAGTTTGAATGTCAAAGAAGTTAATTTCCAGGTTGCTGTTGACAAACTTATTGTTCATTTTTAATTTTTTTTTTTTTCAATACAACACAGTAAGTTTTTCTTTACTATTGAGTTGATGTGTATGCCTTTGGCAAAGCTAACATCTGCCTTATCCTCTTGCCTTTTCAAAATCAAAAGTGATGATACCTGTGACAGTAATACAGTACGAAATGTGTACATCAGCATGTGCCTCCTACAAATTAAGACTTGTTGTTTTTTTGATACACTGTGGTTAAATTCGTAATAATAGCTCCGTAGTCCTGTGCTTTTAGCAGCATTTTTTTGGGGGGGGGGGGGCCCAAATTTTTTTTTTTCGCCCCCTCGCATTAGTTTTGGGGTCTTCAGAGGATGTCATCCATAAAATTAAATCAGTGTGGCCTAAACAAATGATTTGTAATTCATCAAATCAAATTTCTTCTTGTTTTGAATACTGTAAGATGCTTTATTTAAGCTGCAATTAATTCACACTGAAAAGAATTTTTTTTTTGTATGGAGTTTATTTTTCACTTGTTTGTTGGTGAATATAAAATATATGTATATTTGCTGTATTATATTTTCATTAAATCATCAGTAGCACACTATCTTGATGTATTTTTAAGCAAAGTACATTACAGAGACTGCCTATACATTACCCATACTGCCTCACCAGGATGATATTAATGACATGCAACTACAGGAATGACATGTACACCAAGATGTATACACATGTATATAATTCATTGTACACACTATACTGCATCATTACAAAATGAACAAATCTGAGAGAGGTCCACATGTAGTACCTATATATGTAATATCAAAGCAATTGCACTTGAGGTTTTTAACAAGAAGTCGAAAATATCACTTTTTACCAAAAATGACAAAAATATTCACCAAAATTAGAGAATTGAAGATATCAACATGAAATGAACAAACCTAAGAGAGGTCTACCCAAGGTACATATACACCAAGTATCAAAGCATTCAGACTTGTAGTTTTCAAGAAGAAGTCGAAAAAGTAAAACATTGACACGGACGACGACGACGGACAATCACTCATATGATAAGCTCCGCTCGACAAAGTCGACAGCGGAGCTAAAAAAGAACAAAGGTGTAAATTCGACATTCAACACCAATCACCAAACAATTCAGAAACTTTTAGTCTTCGAAAATGAAAAAAATTAGCAGTGTGTAAGGGCTGTGTAATTTCCTGTTCATCCGACGCTTCGTTTTCATGTCACTGTCAAAATTATTGCTACTCTTTACTTAACAGGGACAACTGGTCTCTATAAAACGATAATCAGGATCGCAAAAAAAGTCAACTCATTTGAAACACTTGCCATCTCTCTCTCTCTTCTGAAATCTGCCTCGGTGATCATGGTCCGGATTCTATTTCTTTCAAAAGTGTTGCGCCAGGTTTATGTTGTCGGCGTTTCTCTTTAAACCTAGTTGTTTTTTTTCATGGACGAGGACAGTTTTTCCAAAAAAAAGAAGCTGAGGTTAAGTGGCTTTTGTCCACTGATGTCGCACTTTCGGATCGATTAGAAATGTGTGAATACTTACACTATGACTATATGTTTCACTGCAACTGCCCATAACACAACATCTAAAAACTCTCTCTCGAAAAAAATAAAATAAAATAGACAAAAAAAAAAGAAAAAAAAAAACGCCGACCGAAAAATGTATATCGTTTAAAAGTATATTGAATGACCAGTGTTATTACGGCTCAGGGGTACGACTTTTTGGCATTTGGTGGCGCACTTTCGGCGAGAGTTGGAAATCCGGAAACAGTCGACAGTTTCAGGATAGGTGGGCGTGGCTACATCACGAGAAATATCCCAAATTAACTTGGATACGAGTAATCATTTTCAGCAAAAAAATCAATAACTGCCCATTTCAGTGGGACACAGATCTAAAATGGGAAACGCGAGGGTGGGCATTGCACAGGCACTTTAAGCTCAAAATTGAAGGAAAGTAAACTTCCAATGATGTACTTGTTATCGTGATTTTTGAATTCATTACAATAGTCAGGTTGCCGACCCAGAAAAGCGTAAAAGTGCGTATGACTTGGGTTTGTTTGCTGAAATGTGTTCTACAGTATGTCTACTTCAAGATTCTGATGGGTGCCCAGTTGGCACCCTTGAGCATTTTTTCTAATTTGCATATATCCAAAATGGCTGCCAATTAGGATCGAGCATGTTATCAAGATGGAAATTTCAACTGCTGTATAATATGCAAATTGTGTATTGAGGCCCCCAAAATAAATATTTATCCCCCTGTTTGTTAAAATTATCATTTGCATAAATACCTCATTTGCATAAATCCAAAATGGACGCCAATGACGATCACACATGCTATTATGATGATATCTTCGCATCAAGATGGAAATTTCAACTGCTGTATATTATGCAAAGTGAGTATTGAGGCCTCCAGAATAAATATTAAGCCGCATGTTTGTTAAATTTACAATTTCCATAAATACTTCATTTGCATAAATCCAAAATGGCCGCAAATGAGAATCAAACAGGCGATATATTCATGACTATATTTAATTTTTGGCTGATCTGGAGGTTATTAATAAATCATCAGTAGCTGTTGTTTTTCAGTCTACTCTCATTCTGTGACAGCCAATCAGACTCACGCATTTCGCAGAGTGCGCGAGCAACAATGCATTCCTGTATGATCGCGTATGCAGTCTGTGAGATGCAGAGTTTATTTTTTATTTTTCAATTTAAT